TCTTTTCCTTTTAATTCTTAACCCCCTAAAAAAAACACAGAAAACCTCCAAAAAACCCAAACCCAGAAAAAAAAATAAAAGAGCCCTGGCAAGTTTGGCTCAGTGGACAGAGTAGACCTGAGGACTGAAGGTTTGATTCCAGTCAAGGGCACGTACTTCGGTTGCAGGCTCGATCTGATCCCAGGTCCTAGTTAGGGTGCGTGCTGGAGGCAACCAGTCGATGTATCTCTATCAGAACGATGTTTCTTTCTTGTCTCGCCCCCTCCCTTTCACTGTCTCTCAAATAAATAGTCAATGAAAAAATATCTTTGGGTGAGGATTAACAAAACAAACAAATAAACCTTGAGTGAATGCATGTGCATGCACACACACACACACACACACACAAAACCAAGCAAACAACAAAAACACAGACACAATTTTCCTTGGAGCAGCCAGAGTTGCATTTTAAAAATATAATGAAATCACATCATGCCTCTGCTTAGGTTCTTCTATAATCTAAAGTGTTCCTATCACCCTGATAATAAAACCTTTGCTGACTTCAAAGCTGTTTATATCTGATTAGGGGCCCAGTGCACGAATTTGTGCACTTTGAAAGGAACTGTAGGCCATGATGCTGTGGTGGGCACAGGGGAGGGTCTCAGGCCATCCTCTGTGTCCCTGCATGGCCCCTGTCCCCTGTCTGCTGGCAGCTCCACTCCTGCTGCTGCAGCTCCCACATGCTGAGGGTACCTGGCCCCGCCTGCACCCACTGATGGCATGGAGTGATTGGGGCCGGCGCCAACAGTGGGTGAGAGCAGGGCTGGTGCTGTCAGTGGGTGCGAGCGGTGGCTGCTGCCCCGATTACCCCTCAGGAGCAGGGAGAGGTGGGGAAGCCCTCAGGAGCTATCGGGACCAGCAGCCGCCGCTCACACCCGCTGATAGCAGAGCAATTGGGACCGGCGCTTGGTGCCGGCAGCAGGTGCGAGCGGTGGGAAGGACTGCAGCATGAGGGAGCAAAGAATTTTCAGTAACCACCAGAGGGTGGCCCCGATGACAGCGACCAGTGCCCCGCCTTGTTCTGGCACCCCCGCTCTCCTGCTCCACCATCCCACCACAGCCAACACCCACCATGTTCCGTGCTCTGCCGTCTGTTGCCGATGCCCGCCATGTTCCGCACATGCCCCCTGGTGTTAGCACACATCATAGTGACCGATTGTTTAGTTGTTCTGCTGTTCAGTCTATTTGCATATTAGCCTTTTATTATATAGGATACTTTGCTATTTTCTGATCTCATCTGATACCATTCATGCTCAACCCTCAATGTTCCTAACTCACTGCACCTTTTTCTTTTCTCCCAGATCAAGCCTGAACCCATTGTAGGACCACTGCACTTGGCAGTCCCTTTGAAACACTCTGCCTTCACCTTAGTGTAGCTAGTTCCCTATCATTCAGATCTAAGTTTAATTTTCATTTCCTCCAAGAAGCCTTTCCTGGCCACTCAGTTGAAAGCAACTACTGGCTCTTTTACATTCAATAGCTCACTCATCATCAATTGACGTTTTTGTTTAATTATTAATTCATTTGTTTTCCAGCTTAATAAGCTAAACTCTAAGGCCCTATGAGAGCTTTGGCTCTGATTAATATCTGGTTATTGTTATAACTACCTCAATGTTTAGACTAGTGTGGAAAGCATTCAGTAACTTTTTATTATTTTTTATTTTTTTATTTTTTTAATTGTTTTATTGCTTAAAGTATTACAAAGAGTATTACATATGTCTCCTTTTTCCCCCCACCCTATTCAGTAACTTTTTAAGTAAGTGAATGACTATTTTAAGAACCAAAATACATTTTCAATTTAAAAATAAACTTTTGGAGGATGATGGCTGATGAAACAAAGGTCTCTCAAAAAAGTCAAGGTTGCTTAGCATGATACCAACAAGTAAACTGTTATTCTTATCAATTTTGCTATATTGTCCATTACATTGCCCTGCTTACTTTTTTGCCATAATACTCATCCTTACTAAGTATATTTTTCTGCATATCTATTTGCTTAAAATATATCTCCCAATACCACAAATGTAAGCTTTGAGGGAAGTGATTTTTTTCTTGTTTGCTCATCGCTGAATCTACAATCTAGGATTGTAACTCCAACATAGAGACACTAAAATTGTTTTGTTAAATGAGTGAAGATATAAGGTGTAA